TAAGTAGGAAATGGTATTATGATGACTGTAAAATGGAACAAGTTCTTATTAGAAAATCTTTTTGGAATGGTGATGATGTTGTTATTAGAAATATTTTTGGAATTGTGTGATGATGATTTTAATTCCGTATTTTAGTAGAATTTTGTAACAAAAAATAAAGAAATGATAATTCTGCATTTTAGTAAAATTTTATGATAAAAAAGAAAGAAATAATATTTTATAGGCACATGTCGGTAAAATGTTGATAATGCACTTCCTATATTTCTTCCAGACATAGCCAAACAATAACAATATATTTCTCATGTTGCATCTAAATACTACCCAAACAGTAACAATCCATTTACAAGTAATGTATTACACAGTAATGTATTACTCCAGTAATATATGTCACAGACAATATATTTCCAGGTATCCAAACAGGCCCTAAATGATCACCTTCGGGAGCATACTGTGTATCTACTCCTTAAGTCAAAAGACCTACTTAGGATAATTTTTTTCAGTCTAAATTTTTTGGGAACCAACTTAAGAATCACTAGATGCTTATTTTCGTAAGAAAAGTTTGAAATTTTGAGTTTTTATGAAACTTAGATATTGCCTTTAACAATGTATATAGAGTCCAATTTGAAAAAAAAAATTTAATTGAGTTATTATATAGGTTGAAGAATTTTTTTCAGTCTGAATTTTTTGGGAACCAACTTAAAAATCACTAAATGATTATTTTCATAAGAAAAGTTTGAAATTTTGAGTTTTTATGACACTTAGATCTTGCCTTTAACAATGTACATAGCGTCCAATTTGAAAAAAAAAATTTAATTGAGGTTATTATATAGACTTCCAAATCTTGAAAATATTAATTTGATATAAGAGACAAGTCTATATATTCATATGATTAATGGACACTGAATCTCTTCAGATAAACCTGAGACTCTACACATGAATCTTATTTGATGGACATAAAAGATTTAAGCTTTCCCTAGTATTGTAGTTTTCAACTGTTTGAAAACAGTAAAATCTTTTCCCTTAAAAAAAAGCTGCTGCTAAGGGTACCCATGCGTGACTATTTTCAAGAAAACTCACTCCACTATGCGTCTCTCTCACTTTGCCTTTGCGTCTCTCTTATGTTTTCCTTGGGTCATTCTCTCTCTCTCTCTTACGTTTATGCTCAATACAACTTCTATTTTATTGCGTGCAAGCTTCTCTTCTGTTTTCTTGTTGGTTCTATTAGGTTGCCTTCTTAGGTTGCTTTATGTTCTTTGGCTTTTTACATACTTTCAAATGGTGGTCCATGGTGATCCTTGGGAATCCATTGTATTCAGATGTCTTGCATAACAGGAGGGTCGGGGTCCTGTAATAACCAGTGGTCCATTGTGTTCCTTTGATGTTGCAACTAGGACTCAGTTCACTTGCTCGTCCAACAGAAAATTATGTATTTACCTGCTTGTATGATCGAGTATGTTGTTTTGTTACTTGATCATGTCTGCCTGTTAGTGAGTTGGTTAATCTGGTGGCTCTTTCAAGTGTCATTTTGTTCTCTCAGCTATCTCGATTGCTTTGTCTGGAAAATTTTTTCTGATTGATCGAGCCTCTTCTAATATGGCCTTCAGTTCCTGAGGCCATCTGTTCTGCTACTGCTTTTTGTGCTTGTTGATCAAGCAATATGAGCATGACAACTACCGCATCTACTGATCATGCTATACACTTGATGATCCAACTGCTAGTTTTTGAAATTAGTGTTCAAACTCCAATTGCTCTCTCTCATAGCATCTTGAGTTAGAAAGGGAGTGTGAAAGGAAAGTATATATGCTTATCAGGTTAATATGGAAGGTGTCTATTGTAATCTGTATATTTGGGAAGGATAGATACAATATCTTGTATTTGTGGTAAGTCAGGGTATAATATAGGAAACTGTGATTTATGTTTATATTTTTTGATATGTAATTTGTTATAAAAGACAAGTCTATATATTCATATGATTAGTGAACACCGAGTCTCTTCAGAAAAACCTGAAACTCTTCACATGAATCTCATTTGATGGACAGAGAAGATTTAGGTGACAGTTGATAACCGTGTAAACGCAAAAAGTGTCAACTTTTCCTAGTATTGTAGTTTTTACCTATTTGAAAACAATAAAAATAGGGAAGGGCGGCACTTTTCCCCTTAAAGAAAGCTGCTGCTCAGGGTACCCATGTGTGGCTATTTTCAAGAAAATTCACTCCACTCTGATCTAAACCCTATTCAATGTCTTTCTTTACATTGCAGGTCTCTCTCTCTCTCTCTCTCTCTCTCTCTCTCTCTCACATAAACAAACACACACACCTTTTTGAGCCATGCTTTTCCATTTACTACACTTAGAAACCTTAGCTCTTCTTTCATTATAGGGCTCATGCCCCGCTTCCCATGTTCTAGAGAAGAAATATCTATTAAAGGCCTAGTTTTGTGATTTCATTATTAAGAATCAAGGAAGTCCTAGAGAACTGGGCTTGGTTTTGAACCCTAATGCAGGAGTTTCAGATGAGAAGTGTTAATTAAGAGCTCGGTTTTGTACTTCAGTTCCGGGAAGAGCTAGTGATTCGGGTCTTGGTTTTGAATCATGCCTTTTGGTGAAGAACTACTCAATTGGGACCTGGTTTTTAAGAAAAAATGTCTTGGGAGGATGACTTGTTTGGCCTGGATGTTGCAGCATATTTTCGAAGCTTCGAGATACACTAACCATCCGTACACATCTCCTCCAAAAGAGGTAACATGGTCCTTGTATAGTGGTTTAGTATTTTTTTGTTCTCATTTCCCTGTTTCATCTTTGTTTTGTCAAGAAAATGTTCAATAATCAATTGTTTGTAGTGACAACCATTTTAACTTTTTATTCTCTCTTCTTCTCCATTTTCTTCGCATGTCATCGGCAACAACTTCTATTTTTTTTTTTTCAAAAAAAAAGAAAAAGAAAGAAACTTTTAAATATCTATTTATTAAGTAATTTGAATATGTTTGCTAGGTTGCCTATACACTTAGTGAAATTTTGAAAGTAAGAAAACCAAATTTGTTTCTTATTGATGTAAATGTTGGTAGAATCAGAGGGTATTGACACCTTTATGAAGTCTCCAAGCACAATAAAGTAATTTATTTATATTTTTTGATTTCATATTGGATGGATGGAAGGAACTTATTTAATAATAAATGTATTAGATGGGTTGTAATAATAAAATCTTATTCAAAATATGCATATCGTACATTATATAAATGAAATACATAATGAACAGTTAAGATAGGCAGTTTCCAACTTTTCCAATGCCAAAAAGGCAAAAATACCAGCACTACAATTTATAAATCATGGTTCACATCTTTCAGGCTACCATATTCACCTACCTCCCAGAATCTAGAAAAGTTAGCAGCAGAAATTTTTCCCGAAAAAATATAGTGAAAGTTATCAAAAGCCACCCCAAAGTGCCTTGGATTTTTCAGCTGAATAAATCCCATTTGATGGGAGAGAGAGAACGAAAGAGAGACAGAAAGAGAGAGCTCATAAGGGCATAAAAGGTAAACAATGGGTCAAATTATTGGCGTGGTTTAGTGACTTTTGAGATTTTAGAATGGACCGTCCAAATTTACAATATATCGTAACAAAATATATTTAAAGGAAAAAGTTTATATAAGGTTGCAACCTTAAAATGTAGAATTATAGACGTACCTCAAAAATCTATCGAAAATGTTGTTTTAATGTTTAAAAACCCTTTAATTAATCATCTCGACATCGAGATGTACAAATATGAAAAAAACAAAAAGTAAGTTTTGAGTCCTAAAAATAGTGCATCGTGCAACACATTATCTAAACCATTCATTTTCAAGATTTTCGTATGTTTATAGATCTACTTGATTTTAACCATTTTTAGAGTAAAATTTTCAAATCAGATATGAAAATAGATTTTAGGGAAAATTAAGTAAATATCTGTTTTAGTTTTCATTATAATCAAAATACCGAATATTTTCCATTATTAATGATATATCCGTTTTTTGGACTTCATAACAATTTTTTTAAAAAAAATGAAACTACCTATATTTGGTTTTTCAAGTACCAAAAATTTTTCTCTCTCTTGTAGGTCCTCTACGTATCCTCTGTCTACCTCTCTCTCTATCACTATCAATTGGGTCAGTGAAATCCTCCACTGAACTAAACCAAAAGTCCATTTCAATGGAGAATCCTCACTCTTGTTCAAAAAAAGGCAATTCTCGGGTTTCATGTCTCGATGGACTATATTTGCTGGTGAAGGCCCCCAACCCACTCGCGTTTTGTCTTATCATAGCTGCTACTCCTGCCTCTATGTATCTCGCTTGAGCAACTATCCGATCAAATAGCTCGCCCCCTGAACAAAGCTCCAAAATCAAATGAACCCTCCCTTGATCCTCATAAACATCGTATAAATGGATCATATTGGGGTGAGGAGAAACATCTTCAACAATCTCTCTCATGATCAAAATCTCATTTGTGAGCAAAGCATCCGAGATCGCATTCAGTTTCCATGTGGATAATCGGGAGGCTGCTTTGTCAAATTGTGCAAACTGGTTTATCGGTGTAAGAGAGAGAGGTAGAGAGAGAATATGTAGAAGACCTACAAGAGAGAAAAAAATTTGGTTATTGAAAAACTGAAAATTTAAAATTTTTGAATATTGAAAAATTGAAAATTAAAAATTTTTTAGTTATTCAAAACCTAAAATTGGCTTGATTTCGGTTTTTGAAAAATTGAAAATGGGTAGTTCAATTTGTTTTTTAAAAAGAATGTTATAAAGTCCAAAAAACGGACGTATCAATAATAACATAAAGTATTCGATATTTTGATAATAGTAAAAACTAAAATCGACATTTACATAATTTTCCCTAGATTTTAAGATCATCCTAAGGTTTTTCTTACTATAAAATTACATGATAAAATTTGAAAATACATACTATCATTCCCTTTAAATGCACGTAGTGGGGGTATTTCTTAATTTTGGACCGTCCATTCTAACAAAGATAAAATCTCGAAGCCTCTCAAACTACGGAGCCCGTTATTTGCTTGCATGCCTCAATGTAAATAACCTTGGTCCCCGGAGTGTTTCATTGGGATGGTGTTGGCGTGTTCTCTTTCGTGTTAGGGTTTCGTCACTCCTCCTCTGTAAGCCTCTATCCAATATCGTCTACGTACGCTTTTTGTTGGATAACTGCCATTACTAATCTCTCTTTCTCTTTCTGCTGCTTAAGAGCTTTCTCTGTAGGTGATTGTCTCTCTTCTCTCTCGGTATTCTCTCTCCTTTTTTTCGCTGGTTTATGGTTGTTGTAGTAAATTTGAGTTTAAATGAGTAGGTTTTAAACCCTTGTCTATATAATCTGTTTTTATTTCTACCCATGGAGATACCGTGTCTTTGGTTTTCGCTGGTAATAATCTAGGTTATGGCTTCTTTGAGAAAGAAAAATAGTAGTCTGGGTTATGGTAGTTTGAGAAGTATTTTCTTTTTGGGGTTTAATTGGCTCTTATTTTGTATATTTCATTGTCAAAGGAGAAGAAAGTGGGGTAGAAATTAGAAATCATCACCATCATCGTCTGAGCCTTATCCCGAACTATTTGGGATCAGGTAGGGTAGAAATATGAAATATCAAGTATTATTGCTCTTTGCTTCACTATTCTGTTGGACAGTATTCTAATTGGTGTGTTGTTTTGCTGAAGTGTTTGGCATGGCGTGGATATTAGCTTGTTAAATAATTGTGTTATTGCGAGCATTTCCATTTTCATGTCTCAAGCATATTTTTTTATCACATCTTAATCCCTGTTCTAATATGAATCTCTTCATAAGAATGCATGCCCATAAGTAATTCTTTGGTGTTTATTATTTTCTGGTGTGTATCATCTGTTCCTTTTTTCTCTTCCAATGGTTAAGTTTTTATTATATAATCCATATTTCTTTATGCAGTTTATATATATTTTTTTCTTTGAGTTGGAGAGAATCAGTGATATTAGGGCCTAATTGATTGCCAATTCACAAAAAGTAGCTTGTCTAGTCAAAACTGGTCTGGTATATCAATATAAATAGCAAAACTAAAAGTAAGTTAGAATTAATTAACTGGGTTACATTTTCGTCTAAACCCAAAAGAGTCCTTTATTAGGCTTAGGAGACCAGCGGAATGAAATAGTGGTTGGGACTGTGTACACATGATTTAGGATTTATTGGACTTTCTAAAGTTTCTACTTGCAATAGATGGATTGTTTCAAACCTCAGAGGCAGAAAATGGATGAGTAGATGAGTTCAGAACTTTAGATTATGGTTTTTACTCATATTTTGTATTTGGGAGTAAATATTTATTGTGTACATTTTGGGTGCTTGTGCATAAGATGGCTTTGTAAGTAGGGTGCGGGATTTTATTCAAAAAAAGAAGAAGTAGGGTGCGGAATACGGTCACCAAGACGTTCATTTTGCACTATGTAACAACAACATTCTTATTACTTGTGTATAGGAGAATATGGAATGCCAGTGCACTAGACATGCATGTCGACAAGCAAGACATGCATACCTACACGGAAAATCCATGTTAACATTTGTGTTTGGAAATGTGTTTGAATAAGGACTCTGGCTTGGATTTGCAAAGTTCTCGCCCCAAGTCAGCCACGAATTGGTCAAGTCCCTTGGTAAAAAAAAAGCAGGGCACTCTTCCAATCCTTGGACTTCTTCGTTCGGATCTTGTTGGGTTCCTGGTCTGTGTGACTTGGGTACATCCAAGCCCAAGGCACTTTTTACCTTAGGGTTTGAGTGACTCAGGTGACTCCGAGCCTGATGGACTGATTCTTAAAACACTGGTCTGCAAATTTTCATCTTTTGAATTCGCCGACATGGTGTGCCTTTAATGTAGACATGTCTTCAATGTGGACATGCAAGTCCATGGATTGGATGAATAGGACAAGTGTTTATGCACTCTAAGATACATGTTGTTTTTGTAAGGCATGTATGGGTTCACAAGTCTTATGATTTGGACACACGTCTTTGATTTGGAGCCACAATTTTTATGTTTTTAAGGTTAACTTTATAGTTTTTACTCTTCACAAGTTAATTTATATAAAGACTTGAAAAAATATAAGTAGGTGGGTTAGATTCTTCTACATGGATTCATAGTTGTAACATACGTTTTGTTAGTGATGTGGCATTGTAAGTTTCGGGATGAGGATTATTAGTTGAAATTTTGATTGAGAAATGAGGTGTGTGCTAAGGTAGGTTGGACATGGGAGTGTTTTTTTTTTTTGTTGAAAATGTTAACTCTTGTAGAAGAAAATTACAAGAAGAAAGTTACAAGAGTATAGGTAACCCACAGATCGGGTGCCCTAAACAAAAACCCCCAAGGGCTCCAAAAATGGTTGTGACCCCCTAAGGGCTCCAAAAAATGCTATCCAACCAGTATTAACAATAGAAAAGGGTAACAAAATGAGGATCACGTGCTCAATAAGGCGCTTAAAGGTGCCTTGTGTGTCATCCTTTGTAGCTCTGGCCCTGTTCAGCTCCCTCTTTAGCAAATACTTTGGCTGCTGCTTTGGTTCTTGCGAGTGCACATAGGGCCATGAAGCAGGAAGTCCCTTCTGAGCAAGATTAAATATTTGGTTTTTGCAAATGCATTTAGAATCAATGCATTTGCAAGTGCATGTAGAGCCAGAGGGCAAGAAGGGACTTCTGGGCAATATTAGTTATGTAGTTTTTTTGGAGATAGGAATAGTTTTAGATTTTGGAGTTTGTCATGGTTTGGTACTTATCAATTGACGTGAGTTTTTTGACAATAGATAGAGGTAAGCTTGGTATAGAAGTGACAGCTTTGCTCCCAAGACCTTTCTCACTGCAAATCGAGTTTATATTTGACATGCCAATGTTTGGTTAATGGCATGTGCAATGTCTACTTTATGTCAGGTGCCCTTGTTAAGATTTTAATGTTTGCTCATTGTCTGCTTTATGTCAAGTGCCCTTATTAAGATTTTAATGTTTGCTCATACGAGTTGTGCTTAGTGCCTTATTAAGATTTTTCCTAGCTTATAGGATTCCATGATCCTATTTTGGTGGGATAGTTAGCTAATTAGAAAGAGAATGATGAGTGAGGGTTGATCACATGAGGGGTAGAGATTTCCTTAAAAAGAGGATCTTCGGGAGAGAAGATAGGAGAGTATGGGAAAGGGGGATTTATATGATTTAGAAAGAGATAATCATGGGAAGTTAGAGAGAGAGAGAGAGAGAGAGAGAGAGAGAGAGAGAGAGAGAGAGTAGTACGTTCTTTTACGTTTTTACGTTTTTACGTTTACGTTTAAGTTTAAACGTTTAAAACGTTTAACGTTTAACCGTTAACCGTTAACGTAAA